CGACATACTTTCTATCCACTTTACCCATTAAATGGAAAAAACGGTAGAAAAATTCAACGCGATAAATACAGCACTTAAAATCGAAACGAATCCCTCCCCCTAATCGATATTTTGATTTTTGATAAGCATATACTCGTAATGCAAAAGAAGAGCCGATATTTATTTTCGAAAATATAAATATTTTTCGATGTCTGTTGTACAGAATAAATAAAATCGTGGCAAAAATCTTCTGTTCCCACAATAAGAGATTACTTTAATCGGAGGCTCTCGGAGATTTCGCCGAGATTTTCTCCTCTATCTCGAAGGACCCTCGATGGACTTTTATTGCCCCGAGATCGGGAACAGATAAAACAGTTTCCGAACCCTTTGTTAATCTCTCTGACCGATGATTTTGTAACGAGAACGATCGTAGGCGTAACCGAGGCGATCGATGCCCGTAATTGTCTGGGACGCGGAATGCCCTGGCTTCGGTTGTTGCAACTTTTCCAGATGCCGGACTTGGCATCGGATGACGAAATTGATTCAAGCGTACGATTCCCTCGCGATTCACCCGTTGTGAATCCTCCGCGTTACGAAACGATTTGATCGGGAGCATAGACCCACACTGGTGAGAAATCTCAGCAACGATATCGGTGTCGTTGTTAAAACGTTGTGAAAAATGGGGGCAGAATTAGCAAACTCGTCGAACGCGCGGAAGTGTTTCGAAAGTCCCGTAACATGTGCCACGAGACGTCACAATGAGTCGAGATAAAGTATGTGAGTTTTAAAATTTTTTTAAAACATTGCTCGTTACTTGCTTTTGATAAATTTGCTGTTAAGAATAATGAATAATTGTGGAAAAATTTAACGCTATGAATTAACGTAGAAAAGTGTCTTTTCACGAATTTTTTATATTTTACGAGATTCAAATTAAAAATTGAATCAAGCCAAGATCGAGAGATGGATAGGGAGAGAAAAAATTTTTTTTCATTCAACCACTCGTTTCCATGGTGTGTATTACGACTCGTAAACAGATCTTAATAACCACGTTCGAAGACAATGGCAAGACACATTTCAGGGAATGCGAAATACCCACACGGAGAGAGGTCAAAATGGCGGATGGCGCAACGAATTATCAGATGCGGCTGGCCGGCTTCCGTCTTTTTTAGTTTCGCGCGTTTTCCTCGCGATTAATTCCCAAGATTTAATAAATGTATGTTGGATATAAATAGAAACTGCAGGAAATGAGATAGCAACGGGAGCGGTCTTTATGGAAACTGGAAAACAAGTAAGTTATCCACCGATTATTAACCTAACTTAATCATGTCAAGAATTTTGAATTAAGAAGAGGCAGAAGGAACGCGTCCGATGCTCGGTGAATACACATAAATTGTGATAAAATTTCCTAACAACCATGAAGGAATGATAATGAATGGTAACGAGAGCCTGCTCATATTTTCATTCATTCTTTCCAACACTTTTCATCCATTTTTATCTCTTTATCCAACATATTGTTCACCTGCGTATATCAAAATTTAACGGTGATCATCCTATTTTCTCTCACTCGTTAACCGATATTTACACTATGAATAGAATAAAACAATCCATAAGCGAAGAAGAGTCGATTGAAATTCGTGTATAGTTTTCAAAAGTTTAGCTTGAATTGTAAGAATATTGGATCGATACAGATAAGTGGACAATGACGAGACTGGCTTTGAGCTAAGTAGATATCTGCTCGAGGACGTTAACTAAGATGGTATCTGACTGATCTCTGCTGTGATGTATCGATCCTACATTCCCTTTTCTTTTTCACCCCTCGGTATTTCTTCCATCGCCAAATATTTCTATTTGATTCAAATTTCGAATTCGAAAGTATCAACGATACAACATTAAAGATGGTTGTTTACGAATTGGCTGACGGATGGATATAATCTACTGGAATCTGGAATTTGGAAAACGGGTCAGCATGAAACGAACCACCGTGTACGGGGCTCGCAGATCCGATGAGAGATTGAGTGATCGATGGGTGACGCGTTGGATGATATTGGAAGAAGATAAAGCTGAGGATGGAGAGGCCTGGTGCAACCGTTGCGGAGGGCCATTTAGGGGCGATGCATGATTAACGGAGGAAGATGAGCCGAATAGGATCTTCGATGTTTCAGAGAAACCAGAAACGAACGGGGAACAAATTCGAGATCGTTGAGGAAAGGATATCGTACGTGATTATCTTATGGTAGGGGAGAATGATCGATTCTTTTTTGGTTAATTTTCTGCTAATTAAATTTGAAAATTAATCGGAATGTGTGAAAAAAAAAAAAGAAGGAAGAAAGTTACGCATGATCGGATACGTTAACGAATGGAGCGTTAATGATCGCGTTTCTAAATTGTATCAATGACAAGAGTCACGATTGTTGCGTTGCGTGGTCTCAACGGTGGTCCACGATCCCTGGAACACGTGAGACGGCGTGACACGATGAATTTGTCACGGGTTTGGGTCACGCTACGTGCTTCAGACTACTTGTTCCGTCTTTTTTCCCCCGTACCCCTAGCTGGCTACGCGCTCCTTTTCTCACCTCGACTACCCACCGTGTAAGCACGTGCGATAAATTTCTCAAATACAGTCCGGCTTTTTATTGTCCACGTGAAAAATATTATAAATCGAGACTCGTCCGTGAAACTGTGAGATTGGTACAAATTCTATTATTATTGGCACAATGTGAGGAAATTTCAGTTCAGATTCGACGGTTTCCTTTTAACGAACATATTTTAGAATCTAAGATAAATGTAGACTAAGTATGCAGTATTATTAATTTAATCTAATTCTTTATTGCTTCCTATATTAGAATCTTAGGATAAGTGAATTCTTCAGTACTCGAAGAGATTTATTCACTATCGTGACTCGTTAAAACGACTCCGTGTTTTACAACAGTCTTTCGTTCAACCGATACGTTGATCCTTCAAGTTTAACGACTTTTGAACTCTCCCAATAGTTGTATTCCTTATCGAACATAATACAAGATACTACAAATCGCGTCTTCCCTTTGCGATAAATCTCTAGTCGCGAGGCTAATTTGCGGAAGTCGAGGACACGCGAGTCGAAGACCGAGAGGATATTGAATATCTTGCACGACACACTTCGCACTTAATGATCCGTGGAATCGTTCGGACACGATTCCATTTCCTACTTTTGACCAGCAATTAACAGTGTGCTTCCATCTAGCAGCGTGCTCCCGCTGTGTCTTTCATTATTGGGCCACTAAATTACAATCACCGATGCTAAACACGAGTCTGTCGCTATTAATTCGATATTTTAAGCCATCCTCGTGCGGATGGAACGAGGCTACAAAAAACGTCTCCAATTTGTTTGCGTTACGTTCCCCGTGCGGGATATTCATGGTAACGATCAACCGTACGCAAACTCTTTCATCCAGAACACTTGAATTTCCGTGGGACTCGCAATTTCTTCGGACACAGTTTTTATCCTGCGATGGTATTCCTGATCACGTGTAAATATCTTTACTTTTAACACATTCGACGCAGGTGAATGCACACGTCATGAACAAGATACGTAAAAAATGAAAAAAAAAATGTTTTCACGTATCGTTTCGCACACAAGTAAAAGTATGCACAATTATTTTGAATTTCGTTGCATTTCTCATTTCGTTTTACAATTATTTTTTATCAAAAAAACAATATCCGCCGATATCTGGAGATCCGCTTCGATTTTTATTACCGCGAGAAATGTGTTAATCGAGAAAGCTCAACTCGGCCGACAGTCACGTAATTATACAAAAATATCTAGAAATCGACTAATGGGAACTAAAAATTGCTGGTCAGAGATCGGAATTACATTCGAAACTGATTGTACGCACGAAAGAAGCGTTAAATCAAACCTGTTAAGGATGGTCACGGTTTGCGGATCGGGTTGAACGGCTCGAAAATCGTTCTCCAACCTCGTCTCCTTTTTTTCGAAGCGACGTGGACGTGGACCGAACTCGTGCCAGGGGAGGATCGGGTATCACCGATCTTGAGGGCGGTCGCGAAAAACGCGTGGAAGAAGAAGAAACGATCGATGCCGGGATATCGACGACGATGGTGGGTTGGATACAAAGAGGAATCGGACGCGCAAGCAAGGGCATGCGCGAATCCGCGTCTAATCACGAGTTTAACGCTTTTTACGACGTCCACGAACCTTCTTTCACCGTTCGAGTCGATCGTTTTCCCACAGTCAGCACACTGGTTCTAACCTCGGCTAGGAATCACGGCGGTTCTTATCGCTTTTTCGTACGTTGCTCCTTTTTCTCCAACGTGTGTCTACGATCGTTCCAGTTTACACGATTTCGCATCAAACTACCGAAACGTTATTACTGACCGGGATGAGAAAGAGAGAAACATGATACCATAATTACCGTTCGAAAAATTATTGATTCTTCCGTCGAATAACCCGAAATTTATTGGTTAAAAGTATTTTTAAGTATGGATAAACTTTGAATTATTTATACGAATAATGGACGCCATTAGATGATTAGCCATATTGTATAACGGTACAGCCATATTGATAATTGCAATGAATTGTTCATATGATCAACTACAGTGGGCGCCATCGGATAGGTATATCGTTTAACATAGGAAAATTTTAAATAAATGATCAAAAGTTTATTTCATTCGATTGAAATATAGATTTTGAACGAGTTGAAATAATTAGTTTGATTTTAATATAAGCTCGGTTTTATGTTATAACATGAATAAAAATACTTACATGTTTTACACTCTTCGGAAATTTGCTTCGATGATGGTAGCCAATTGATGTTTCGCACTCACTCATACTGACAAGTCTATCTTGATTTAAAACTTTGTTGGCACGTTTCACTGATTGAATTATGTAGAGATAAACCTATTGTATACAAATAGTTTATACTATCTTTCACTTCACATCTTCTACACCATTAATTAAAACCTAACACTATCGTGTAATTGAAACCATTGATTTAATCGTATTACACTGAACAAGCGAGAATTAGATGCAAGACGAGAATCGATTATACCGATCTATCGAACGTTCGGTGGCAAACTTCGGTTCCTTCTCGAATAGGTATACATAACCTGTCAAACATCAGACAACTGGTAATTATCATCTTTCTATTTTAATCGTTCAATCGTTATTTCAGTTAATTATCGGTCAATATCGTATAATTAACTATTTAACTAAGGATTTAACTATTAACTATAAAATCTACGACTAAAGTCGTTGGTCTCTATTTTGATGGATAAAAATCAGTTCGCGGTCGCTCGAATCAATGATCGCATTATTACCTTAGCCTATAGCAAACAATCCCTGCTTTTTCACGAAGATTTCTTTTCTTGTCCGCGTTCATTCGTGCGCATGATCGATTCCGCATCACCTCGATTTCATCGCGAACTAATGGAAACGAGCACCTAGTCGAACAAATGACATGTTTTAGTTACGTAACCTTGATCTTGATCGTGGTGATGTTTTCGATTCGTGTTTTAAATCTTATTTTCTTTCTTTCTCGAAGTTTTAGATAGGCTGATGTACGAGTTCATCGGATATACATCGACTATGAAAACATTAAAGTTCTAGAATTTCATGAAAATCCATGGCTGTTGCAGACAACTGCGTCTAAATCGTAGGATACGGCAGTTGAAATTTTATGCGATCGCGTGATCACGTCTCCTCCACAAGTTTTCCTGACTCGGATGCAACGGAATGGTTGGTTTCCTTATCGCTAGAATTAGAATTATTATTTTGCGCGAATTATTCGAAGAATCTATGTATTTTTAATCGTATACTGCGCATATTTCGTGCCGAAGTACCTTCTCTTTTTAATATTCCTTATTCGTGTGTAGAACATAACACGTAGAATGTTAATCACAAATAAACAAAGTGTTAACATGTACTTTCCAAATATCTATAGAAGTAAAAGAATCTTTCGTTCGAAACATTTTAATGAAATTTAATTAAATTCGCGTGTTGCACGAAAGTTGTTTCAATTAGCTTCATATGAGCGATCGATCTATTTACATTTTGTTACAGTCTGAATATATAATAATCAAAGAATGTTTCTCATGGTGAACAAGAAAGTAGAAGTGCCAAGAGCAGCAAGCTGAATCAGAAGTTAAGGAGTTAACGATTATTTTCCATGGTTCTTAAGCATTAACAAACGAGGAAAAAGTTCCTATACCAACCACTGTATCGTGTTTACAGGTACTGGGCCAACGTGAACGTATTGTAGCCAAGTATACGTTGCGGAGGACCACGGGCAGTATAACACATAAAACGGGCGCATAAACGAGATGCTATCGGAGTTGGAGGAGGTTCCGCGTAATCTATCCAATTATCGTTCGATCAGAGCTGTATCCGTGATTGTTGGGACCCCCAGCCACCGGGAGAAACTTGACTGCGATAAAGAGCATAAGGGATGTCTGCACAGAAGTTTCTTATCCTATATACTCTATTACAAACCGAATAATATCGAGAAAAGCAAAGCAAGCGTTTTAGAGAGAAAAGTAAGTTTTGTTATTGGTTAATTACCTTTGCTTTTTACATTTTTTTACTTTATACTATACAACATGATATAAATCTATATTATTTTGCAGTAAAAATTACAATAAAACATTGTAATAACACTACTAATAATAATTACCGGTAACCAATACAATTTTATCTTTAAAAAAACAATGAATAAGTAAGTATAATTCCTTATCATCCTTTCCTTTTCTTCACATTCATATATTATCCACGTCATTGTACTTACAGATCTTTTGGTTCAGCATATCCACTCGTCGCCATCCAGCTAGTTATCAACGATTTATTAGTTATCGAGCATAGAACCACTTGCTTCTTCATCGAACTCGATTCACGGTTCGGTTTCGCAGGGTGGGGTCACCGAAGGTTGCGCAACTCGTGGCTATTGCGCGGCGGTGCTGCCTTCCACACGATTGCCACTTTAAGTGCGCCATAATGGCAGTGGGCTCGCTAAGAAGAACGCGATCTTAAGAAACGGCTCACGGTGCCTTAGCACAGGGCTCGCCGTCTGTCTCGGTTTCGCTCGCTCTCTCGTAAGGCTAGCTGTCTCGATCGCTCAGGGCCCCGCGGATGCGGATCGCCGTTGGGCCTTTCACTGGGGCCTGCGGGCTACAGGTCGCGACCTCAACGTGGTCCACTCCCTCTTCCCTTCCCGCCCCTTCGTTCTTTCTCCTCCTGTTTCTTTCGACTCCTTCGCCGCTCTCCATCCTTCTCCTTCTTCCCTCCACCTCCATCCTGCCTCCTTTTCTTTTTCTCCAAACATTTTTACCTCCCTTCTCTCTTACCTTTGTGCTTTACCTAACCCGGCTCCCTTTGCCTACTCGCTCTTCTCCGTCTTCGCTCCACCGCCGTCTCGTTGCCACTCTCCTCTCGTCCCCGTTGTCCAAGATACCCCGAGTCGTCTATTCTTAGTCACTCTCGTTAAACGAACCCAACACGGTGATCAATGGGAGTTTCCAACGGCTTAACTTCATCCGGTGGATAGATGCATCTCTGGCCGGATAGATTTGGGTTATCGCCGGGCGGGATGTTCGATCGAAGGTTGACAACGTGAAAACGGGTTCCTTTCTACCTTCCTTGGAAATGTAGGAGATGCGCTCCGCTCGTGATATCGACGTAGGTTCGCGACGTTCCCGCGAGAAGAAGCGGCTTGCCCTGATTTTCGAATCGAGCGCATACGTACATCGGCCGACTCGTGATCACGACCTCCGCGATCGGAAGAGCTTAATCATGTCCCGGGAACGTTGTATATGCGGCGTATACGCGACGAGTGCTATAACTTGGTGGAGAGAGAAGAATCGTTTATTCATTTCAACGTACATATATAGGAATCAATTTTACAGTCGAGTCACTTAATTTCTTCTGACTACGATTAACCTTATGTTCCACTTCTATTTAGTAATCGGAATTTAATCGATCGTTCATCGACCAACGCACAAGAGGATTACGCGAATTTCTCGGCTGCCTCGGTTTTATTTACGCTTCATCACGGTCGCCTCGTTAGGAGGAACACTCGCGGCTGTAATTAACTCTCCAAAGGCTCGCCTTTGGAATTTATGCCGATACAATTTTTATCATAGATTCTGCTACTTCTTTCTAACTGTATACACATCGGATAGATCGACGTATACCATCGATTGAGCTCCGTTATCGTTGCGTAACGAGCTTGAAAACGCACGAGAATGATCCTTGATCGTAGTCCAGATACGTTTGAAAGATTCTTCAGACAATTGTTCTCGAGTTGTTTTTTTTTTTTTCAAATTGTGTGTTCGTTTAAGAGCAACAAGTTTTTTTATAAATAATCATATTTCTCTTCATTGTTTATCAATCGACTCCTGCGACGAAACTTTCAGAATACGAAACTCGGTATTAATCTAGACAATTCTCTTTTTCAGATGGTTATCCCCAATATCGAATCGTGATAAATACTTTGAAGAAGAGCTTGCTATAATTTCACTCTCAAGTGGACACGTACCTTTCGACCGCAATTTGTTCAAATAATTCGAAAGCATCGGATATATTAATTTCACGCGGGTGAAGGGTACCCCGCGGTAATTTTCAAATTACAAGTTGGCCGCAGGCGAAGTACAGACCGTGGCCGTTCAGCCACACTGGCCTTTAAGACATTGTCTAAATAATAGTCTAATGGATAAGGTATTCCAGGGCTGGGACCAGGCCGATGGTGCCGCTTCCAAGAGTTGCTGCATTGTGGTTACGCCAGGTACAACGATAGTCTATATTCCCTTACGACTAGTTTCATTCCCCTTTAAAGTGTTTTAGAGGTTCTGGAAGTGGGTGCTCGGGCCGTTTTCTCCGGCAAACTGCCTCGTCTCTGGATCCCCGGCTTGCACTTCATTGGCCGCTCAACGGTCGTTGCTAACCCGGTTCTTGAAGATTCATCCCGTGTGTCTCGTGCCGACGTGGCCTGAGCTCTTATGGTTCCTGGTAACGATCTTTTCCGATAGCTTACACGATTTAAACGCGAGCTGCACGTGCATACACGGTCCGGTGCGGCCGCATAATTTTCAGAACGTATTTACGCGAGGTACTCGAGTGATCATCCTCCGACGGAAGTCCTTGGATGGACGACTTCTCCGATGTGAAAAAAGTGTTCGAAAGGTTAATCTCATTACGAGACCCTTGGGATCGAGATGCGGCCGGAGATCGGGAAGATTTCTCAACACGAGGGAGCTTTGATGTCGGAAGAATTGACACTGGTTATCGCCGGTGAAGCAAATAATCATCTCGACGATGCTCTTTCGAAAAGAAACATAGAAGCTATAGCAGCGAAGAAGCGCGGTAACGACGAGTGGAGATCATAACAGTTACCTTCCAGGAATCAATTGGATCGCGATTGTAAGAAGCAAGTTGTGGTATCGAGTGACGCGAAACCGCCTAAAAGAAATTCAAATATTTTCTATTCGTATTTCTTTCAGCCGAACAGTTATACCAATGCCATTCCCTGTCCTAGACAATCGTGCTTGACAGTTGCAGTACAAAGAAGCTTTCTCGACCACGATCCTTCGAGCCGAAAGAAATTCTCTAATTAAAAACTCTGAACAAGAAGAGGAAGAAACTGACAGAGTTCGTTCACCCGTGTATCTCGAAATGGACGAAAGTTTCACCTCGGAAAGTTGGAAGTTTCGGTACAAATTGTCCTTGAGATGAACCAACTGTCACGTTCATTTTGCCGATAACACATTTCTTAAGAAAACGATTGTTACACATCCGGATTTATCTAGATTTACAAAGCAACATCATAAAATAAATTGTCAAGCTTAACACAATTCTTCCTCGAACGTTATAATGGCTGCCGCACGATGTTGCTCATTAATTCTGTTAATTTGTGGCGTAATCGAATGAGAATCTGGGAACGTTATCTTCAACTGGATAATGTTTCACGTGTATCATAGCATTACTCTTTCTATGGTTTCTACCTATGAATGGAAGAAGACGAATTGCGTAATGATATTCTTTTTTCTTTTCTTTCTTTTTTTTTTCAACTCTTTCTTTTATCCTTTATATTATTCGCGAAGGATTATCATACAATGAGATTACACGGATGAACGTCTAAAAATATAACGGGTTTATGACGGGTTTGAACAGTGTCAAGCGGTAAATAATACGCTGTTAATTTGTGGCGGCCATCTGACGCGGGGCTTAGCGCGTTTACTTACGGTTTCCGGCGAGCAAGAAATCGCACCGTCCGATAATCATCTGCAATGTTATCTGGCTCACGATCACGAACCGTGTCCTCAGTCTGATATGGCTAAATTAGTTCTGGGAACGCGATTACCTGCTACCATGCAAATTGAAGTAACATGGAGCGTTACGCCCCTCTGGTTACGTATGTATGCTTGCGTATGTATGTTATTTCTTTATCTGGATTCTTTCCCGGTTGATGTTATTTCCTTACAAATTGATTCTTAATTTTTCAACTTCAGATTTAAAAGGATTATTGCTTCCTCGGAAAAAAATTTGACACCAAGTTTTACGCGCCAACCCAATCGATACCAACCGACCAACTAAAAGTGAACTCAAGTGCACACGGTAGCACGTGTCTTCTTCGTTGCGAGAAAAAGGTACCGATCAATATCATCGATGACATTGATAAACGAATCGAAATTAGAAACACAAAATTAATCCTCGTAATCTTTTAATAACCTAGCAATAAGATATATGGTAGCAAGGATAACGATCATCCACCGATCGTGCAGGGAAAGGAAGAACTCGAAGAACCACCTACGGCTCCTTCATCGTGGTAAAGATACGCAGCAGAACAAATTGGGGCCCGCCGGGTTGTTTGACAAATTTCGTCTAGCGCCGCGGGAGAGTGCCTTCTAATATCCTCCCGGTTGATTCTTCCTTGTTCTCCGCCATCTCCGTTTCTCCTCTCGCCTTCCTCCTTGCCCTCTGTTCGAGTTGGTCCGCCGCCGCCGGCCATCCTTTAGCATTCGTTGCACGACCACTTTTCTCCCGCTCTCTCTATGAGCGGATCCGTGTGCCCCGTTCGAACGTGTGTTTGCCCCGTCACTGTGTGTGTGTGTGTGTGTGTGTGCACAAGAATCTGCATGCGCACGTATACGTACACAAAGACGGAGGGAACGCTCGTACTGGAGCGTGCAATGCACACCAGCACGATAGGTGGTAGGACTCGGAGGATGAGGCCTTCCTTGGCTCTGAAGAAGGTACCGCTATCGCCCTCTGACCTCTCGAGGCGAGCGAACGAGGCCTCCTTCCACCGGTAATTTTGCCTTCGGTCCCGGCTTCCTGGTGCTACCCAGATCTAGATCATCGAAAATCGAAGACGAGGGTCTCCCCGGTTTCGCGACCAGCCTCGCGCTCTTCACGCTAAGGACGAGCGTACCGGATCGATCTAACCGGCGAGACTCCCTCGAGGAGTGTTTGCACGCGATATTCCGATCGCCGAGAGATCCACAGAGTAGATAGTCCGCTTCTGTTGTCTTGTATTCTTTTTCCTTTCCTCTTCTTGTCCGCCTTGTGTTCTCTTGAAATATCTTGGAACAGAGTTCTCTTCTATCAAGCCTCTTCTCGCGGTGAAAATAGAATACGGTGCTTTAGGGTAAAAAAAAAAAAAAAAAAAATTTAAACAAAGATAAAAACATTGCAATTCTCGAGGGGATTTTCACACGAATTCGAAAACGTGACATAAATTGGGTATATCTATGACACCGATCACCCACAACATTTCATCGCTATCTCATATCTCTGTTATTCATAGATGCAAACACTTGGATAACAGCTGGAATCGATTCAACGACGCCACGCGTGGAAAGTAAACGGGTCCATCGGATTTTAATGGGACGAATACACTATGAATGAAGGTTTTACCTGGAAAACGGAAATCGAGGGATGGAAGCGGGAGGTGATTCGCAGACTTTTCCCCGTGGGAATGGAACATTTACGAAGTGGCGTGGAGCAGAAGCACTCGCATTCCGAGGTAAATAGCGAGCGAGCCGGCCGGTGCAACAAAAACATCGGACGTTAGGCGAATTCGAGATGAGAAACCGTTCCTTTCGAGAGAGAATTATTCAAATTGCCGATGAACCCGCCAGTTGGAACAGTGTTCCACGGCGAGCACTGTAACAAGTACGTAGAAGCGGCGGGCTGTTCGCGCGCGCGCACTCGAGAACAACTCGAAACGAGGAGCTCTGCAGGAAATAATGTCGTGGGATTGTTTCGCGCGCTATCAAGGTTTCACCGGCTCGTTTCGAGGCCACACGTCCCTCTGGATGTTGAATAAATGAACGTGCGCCTTGGAATATCGCGGAGGAAACGATGCTTTGACGGATCGTAAATCGGATAAACGAATGTGAACAGGTATTTAAACGGAAATGCTCGTATCATTAAGGACCAAGCCGTGAAAGGGAGGCATAAAGGAAATGTCGCGTATGTACGATAATATTGAAAAATTTAAGTAAAATAACTTATTACTTTTTTCAAACAGTGTATTCAGATATACTCAGACAGAAATGGAAGATCTCTATAAAAGGTAATTTATCATAGTCAAAATTTCAAATCCGATTATGGAGTGTAAAAATATTTCTTTTTTTCAGAACTGTAATTATCGAAAAGTTCAGATTCGATGACGTGAAATTGGTAACGTAATTTATTATATTATTCCAAATCACTTGATAATATTCATATTTTATTATTTATTAAAATTATTAAACGTAGAAGAATTTTCGCAGAATATTCGGATCGAAGAACTCGGAGAGAGAAGAACTCGAGGATGATGTTGACTCATTTACGTGTACACGGTCATCGCGGATCGGCTCGATGACTAATCCCGATCCGGACAAGGGTAACCACTTTCAAGCAATACCGAAATAACGGTCATCGGCGGGAAGGCAAATTAACCTGGCCGACTTCGAGACTTCGCTACCGTGGAAAAAATTGGAAATCACAATGGTCGATCCTTAAACGGTCGCGCGGCATTTAATTTTACTCGGCCCTCGTCGTTTTCACCGTATAATTCCGATCGTCGATACCGACGAGCCGCGAACAAAGAGAGGATCTTGGATAAATAGCGGGCGTGCTCGTCCTCCTCCGGTTTCCGCCACGATTTAACGGGAGTTAATACTGTAACAAGGACAACGATTGTCTGTAATTTCTTCATTTTGTCTACGATTGGTGTGTGTACGGTGAGAAATTTATATCGAAAAGGAGCGATCGATGATTATTTCAATTCTATAGATTTTGTTGGAAAGGATATCATGCATATTCATGCATACATTTTATAACAATTATTTATAACTGAGATACGAAAAGATTACGAGGTGAAAAAATGACCGTCTTATGCAATCATTAACGAGACTTTATCATCCTGTATTATCGAAGAGCGGTTTTATAAAATTCGTTCTTACCTCGAACCAATTAACTGGCGAATTTATATATCTTCCCAATATTATACGAAGCATCCTTTTCTTAACGCGTATATATGCCTGGCATCGATATTAAAAATAAATGGTGTTTAAGAAAGCCGTGCCGATACTCGAGCCCGAAATAAGAACTTTAACTTTCCTGTTCTAAAAGGCAGCACGGGAATTAATAACCGCGATCGCGTAAAACGTAATTAAAAGCAAAAAATATATCGGATAACCAATTTTCGGCTTAACGAGCCTTCTCCTCTCGGGGCTGGATACGATCAAATTAGCGTTTCGGTATTTATTTCCGGTCATCCGGTGACCGTTCGCACGGATTCCCAGGCGAAGGTGGGGCAAGAAATGGCTTCCAATCTCGTCCGGAAAGTGATCATCGTTGCCTCGAGTCGCACGATTAAGGACGCCGAAGAGAAGAATCTTCAAAAATACCGGTCACGGCCGAGTGTCATCGCTGCCAGGTAGAAGATAAAATCGGCCAATCTACGCGAATCCCTTCCTCTCCCTCCCCTCTTCTATTCCCCTCTCTTTCTTATCGGTGAACCGATAAAAGGCGGTTTATACGCGAGCACGTTACATGAAGAAAAGGGCGGCGGCGAACAGGGAGGGAAAAAGAAGACGAGGAGGATGGTGATCCCGAAAGGCGGACGAACGAGAGAAAGAGAGACGGCCGTTCGTTTTAATCGCTAATCGCCAATTACCTGGGGCGTCCCGCGCCCCAAACCCCCACAAACATTTTAACGAGCCGCCGTGTCGCCCGGCCCGGAATTTTACTTCTGGACGCTCGGCTTTCAAGTCGTCCAGGATCCGTTTCGGACCCCGCAACCGTATCTCTTCCCTCGAACCGTTTCTCTCCTCCCTTTAACCTGTCTCCCTTCCTCGTCCACGCTCTTTCCACCTGTCTCCATCTTTCGCGTTAGGATTCGAGACTCTAACGTTCGAGCGTGCGTGGTGTGTGTGTGTGTGTACGCGCATGCGCCCGTACCAATTAGCGCATACTTGGACGCGCAGTGTGTTCGAGTGTGGCACGAACGGTCGTCGGTCGGTTTTGGACAGAGATCGCGGAATCGTTCGAATCGTTCCAAGGCTCGTTTCGAGGCTTGGATGTTCTCTCCTCCAACAGGAATTATCGTGGTTCCTGGATGGCTGGAGGTCGTAACGGGGCGCAGACAATGAGCCTGCTTGCTAATAGGAGGCGATTAGTCACGGACCGGCTAAGAATCGAGGTAAAGGTAAAGGAGCTACCTGAGATCCCGGTGTGTTTCGGATAAATGACACCGGGTAGCGGGATTATCGCGCGGGATAGCGGGAAAAAAGGGACGGGTTCAACGGCGGCCAGGGCTTTCCTTTAGATTTTCGTAACGGTTCTGGCGGGATGTTTCACGACGTCAAGATTAAGTGTACACCACTGTGGGAGCTAAGTAATAACTGCCAATGGAATTAGAGACGTTGCACGGTCGCGTATACGCCACCACGGTGGATGGTGTATACGTGACTGTGCCGTGGACGAGATTTTTATCCGATGACGGGGATATCTATAAACACGAAACCGAGATATAGGAAGGGAATGTTTGGATTCCCATTTGAGGAATTCGTCGGAACGAATTATTATATCCGTCGATGACGATGGGAATCCAAAGATAAAATTGATAAGCTTAAATTAACTAAAGTTGTCAATTATTGTGCAATTATCGTGCTCGCGTGATTCGATTGTTCACACACTCGATATGTCACTTTCCATTCGTCAAACCAAACCTCTCTAAAAATTTCCAGTATCAAAATTTTTCACATCACAAGTTTTCTTTTTTTCGTATCAATTATTTTTAACCGCTTTAACCACTCTCTCGCTTAATCCATAAATTTCAATAGTTTCAACGTCAAACTACTATTATCGATTTTATTCGAGATGTCCTGCTTCGGTGGTCGCAACGAGCAGATCTACATAATCGAAATACTGATCCACAAGTTGACATTGACGAAGAACAAGATCAAAGATCTCGGTGATTATCCAATAGCGGTGAAGGTTCATTTTCTCGATTTCTCGGTGTTCGAAATAACGAGGGACGAATTTTATTCGGTGAAACTGCCGCCACCAACCGAGGATGGCATCTTTTATTTCATGGTAGGCAGAAGTTGCCTGTTTGTAAAACAACCGAAGGATCTGGTAACGGAATTGCAATCGCAGAATATAAAGGTCGGCGTGTTTCGCGTCGGAGACTCTTACCCCATGGCCGAAACCGAGATAACGTTGCCAGGCTGCATGTGCGACCAGGTGGCGATGGCCATGAACGATCCCCAGAATCTGCCAAAACCGTTTATGGTGAGAGGTAGTTTCAATCTGTTGGACCCCGGCGAGAATCCGTCGGGAACATTGGAGATGGAAATGCGACTGTCCTGTTTGGGCCGATCGATCATGACCCACTACGAGCTGCATCCTAAATTCTTCACCTTTAGGAACAACAATCAGGAAAGGGAGTTCTGCGTCAGACGTCTTCTCCCACCCAGTTATTATCCGGAAGGCGAGGCTAAGGAGGTCACGGAATTTTTGGAGAAAACGACGGTGGACGAGCTGAAGGGGAAGGTGAAAGAAGAACCGGCGAAAAAGAGGGCAAGGAGAGACAGGGGGAGGGGGAGGGGGAGGGGGAGGGGACGCGGCAGATGATTCGCGATTTCATTATGGAAATAGAAAATGATCATCCGGTATAGGAATTCTGTTAACACGGGTTACTATGGTGATCATAAAAGACACATTAAATTAAACGATTGGCGTGGTTAGGTTCGTACATTTATTGGCCGTAAAACGATTACAAAATTAATGGCGCGTTACGGGTAAAAATCTTATCAGAAGTTCCCGCTTTTTTTGCGGTTTGCGATTTTTCATTCTAAATTCTTGTGCAACACTGGCGGGACAAAAAATCGTAAAATGGCTCAGAAAAGGAGAACCGTGAAATCCAAGGGAGAACAGCTTTACATGCTCGAGATATTGATCGATAAAGTGACTTTAAATCCTCAAGTGCCGGATATCAATGTTGAAAATTTTATCGTTTATGTGAGATTCGTCGATTTGCCGGAATGTAAGATAAGCGTCCCACAAAGTGATGATAGTCAGGATGATGATAACAAATCAATCGTGAACGGAAAATCGTGTTTATTTTCCAAAACGCCTAGCTGCCTTATCAGGGCTTTAAGGTGGTCACCGCTGTACATGGATGTGTATTACAAAAACGCGAATTGCCCGCAGAAGAGTGATTTTTTGGGAACGTCGAAAATAACTTTGCCCGCCTGTATGTGTAAACAAATTGTAGATAATCAAAAAAAATCCAACGATTCATCCAAACCATGCATGGTAAAAGATTCCTTCGCTCTAATCGATCATAGCGGGAATAAATCTGGTAGTATAACCGTAATCCTAAAATTATCATGTTTTGGAAGCTCCATCGTCGAACAATTTTCTCTCGCTGGAAAATCGTTTATATTAGAGGATTCGCCATTACGAAAGTTTCTCTGTCCATATATTTATCCAGAAAGTTTAAAGGGTGAAGAAGATTCGAAAGTCGAAGATCCGCGTAAACTGAAACGACCAGATTCACCTCTACGTATCTCGATTGAGAATCCCGCGTTCAAGACCTTAACTATGGCCGAAAAGCTGAACGATTCCAAGTATCGAGAATTAATATACAAAGCTTATCCGGACGAGCCGACATGCTGCTGCCAGCCCAAAGATCGTTCAAAACATCCTATGATATGCCCTTCGGGTTGCACTTATCCTTGCTGTATAAAATTAAGAAATCCCGATGTATTGTTGAACAAAGAGAAGAAACGCGAAGATCCATTGATCGACACTTACTGCGTGAATCGCAGCAGCATCACAGCATTATACGAATTGAAGCAGCTAGAATCTTCGTACAACGTGAAAATTCCCAATATCGAATCTACGAAGGAGAACCGATTTAACACCTATTGCACGAACGCTTTACACTTTCCTATCGAACAAAATCACACGTGTTGCAATCCGACCAGGCTGAAAGGTGGTGGAGACGTAGAACAGATATATCTCGATCCGACCAGCCTTACATGGAACAATTACGACAATGATTACAGTTTGTACAGCGAAAAAAATAATGAAATTCGATTGGAGGGGGGTGGCGGTGAGGATAAAGATATGAGCAGTTGCAGCTGTTCCGGTTCGCCAGTCTCGGTACCGCTGCGGAAATCATTGTCGAAGGATAACGATGTGGTGGCCATCTTCGACGCTTGCGTTCCTCGTCCAACAACGACCGGGGCGACACCTACTTGCATTTGCCCTGGAAAAGATGCCAAGTGGCCTAGAGGAGCTGCAAAATGTATGAAATCGCCGTGCATGGGGATTGATTGTTTGATCCGGGCATTCAAAGATGCCCAAGATTTCGTGGATTCTATTGGAAAGGTGCCAGGATTGCCAGGACTCGGTTTAATGGATCCATCCGAGAGCCCGTATTTCGGCAGAGACATCGACAAAGATTATATGCCCGTGCAGGAACGGCCAGCACCAAAGAAGAAGGGTGTACAAGCAACACCGACAACACCGACAGCTCCTACTTGTACAGCACCGTGTAGCATTCCAGGCAAACCCCCCGAAGATATTCGTGCTCATCTCACCTCTTACACGCCTACGGCTCCCCGACAAGTCACTGTGTCGCCACGGTTGGGAATCGTCCGCGAGGCAATACCTGTTTTACCGGAGGGAGGTTTAACAGTCGCACCTACGTTCAAACATAGGAAGAAGGAGGATAAGAAAGAGGAGAAATCAGAGAAACAGAAGGAGATCGAAGCCACGTCGTCTGCTGTGATGGAAGCGGAGGTGGGTCCTTGCGGTGAACCGAGATGCAAATCGAGGAGGAAAAAGGCCGCGGATAATACTAGCGTGGTCTTGAGTAGCACTCATGTCTCCGCCAAGGTACGGACGGACAAAAAGCGTAGCCCTGTCTCGAAATCTAAACATAAATCAAAGAAAGAGGTTAAATACGCTTCTTCGAAACGTTCCGGAAGATCGAAGCATGACAATACGATCGATATTCAAAAAGATATGCCAATTATACCTGGCCGTCAAATAGCTGCCGGTGGTAAAATGATGGGTCGCGATAAAAGAGGAAAATTTTTAGGGCCCGGTGGAGATCGCACTGTTCCCCCGCATCCGTCGATTCCGATTAGCAGACGAGTAACGCGTTACGTTTACTTCGTTGGTGATTTTTATCCTGGTATCAACTTTGGCCATAGAGATTGTATCGATATACCTATGAGAGTTCCCGCTAACATGGGTTGGTTGTGGAACACGATGGCCACGGCGGGAAAATTAAAGCCGCGAATCGGTTGGAGGCCGGGCGCAATTGGTCGTTATTTGTACGAAATGTTGCAAGATGCAAAAGAGCTTACTATGGAAGAACTGGAATATGAGAAAGGAAAACCGGAGATCGAGGAAAAAGAGCGTGTAAAACCTAAAGGAAAAATTGATCGTGGAAGGATCGATCGTGGAAAGATCGATCGTGGAAAGATCGAACGGAAAGGAGTAAAAATAGTGGAACGGGCAAGATCTTTACCTTCGCGGCAGAAGAGCCCTATGAGACGGCCCAGAACAGGAAGAACTATAAGTTATCAATCGATGCAGAAACAAACGAAGATGGAAGGAGAAGAAGAAGGACCAGAAGCGCCACCGACTTTGCACATCCATAGGAAAGATGGCACTTATTACGTAACGATGTATCCTATTAAACAAGAAACGTCTACTGAGCCGACTTTGTCTACACCGATGAAACCGCTTCAATTCAAGATCGTAAAGAACAAAGACGACGATACAGATGCGACTAGTTCGACGGCATCCGATATGGAGATTGAATTCTCTCCTCCCGCGGCGGTTACCAGGTATCGCAAAAAACCTGATGTCGTTCATGTCGATACTCAAGTTCGTCAACAAGAAATTATAGATGCGTTTAAAGCGGAAGAGTTTAAGAAAAAGAGCAGAAGAGGAGTGAGAAGGGAAAAAAAATTGAAAAAAGAGTCTAAGACTTTTGTTAAAAAATAGAGATATTAAATAGAATACTTGGAATGAGGAAAATTATAATACAATTACGATATGATTTTGATATAAAAACGATTAGAATATTTGAACAGAAAGATTGATATCATTTGATAACGCAAAGATTTATCTGACATATAGTGAAATAATTTTTAAATAAATATTTAATTTCTAATGCACATTTGAGACTGCGCGTTTCGATTTAGTGTTAACCGCGGCATCTACACGTATTTGTTGCGCATGTCCATCGAAACGTTACCGACTGGAGTTAAAACTATCGAATCGAGTGAAATATCAAAGTTTTTACAGTACGTAAAAAATGGATATCAAGACACAAGAAAAGCAAAATGAAAATATAAGAAAAAAAATGCTCGATGTGCAAGAATTGCGTATAGCAAAATGTCCGTCAAATTCACCATGGATCAGACCGGTTAGGATATATTATAAACAAAATGGCGAATACAAAGATTGGGATGTGGTAAGAGCACATGATGGTGTGAATATAATTATTTTCAACATCAGCCGAAAAAAACTGGTATTTGTTCGTCAATATCGTCCAGCATATTTTTATACATTTCTACCTGAGAAATATGGATCGGTAGATCTTGAACAATATCCGCCATCATTGGGTTTAACCTTAGAACTTTGCGCCGGTATCGTGGATAAGAACAAACCACTTGTCGAGATCGCAAAAGATGAACTACTAGAAGAATGCGGATATGAAGCACCATCGGAAGCCTTTAAATATATCATTACTTGCAGGTGTGTCAATGGCAAATTAATAATTTATTAAAATGCTAAAATATTATTACGTTGTACATTAAAAAGTTGTTTAATGTTTTTTCTTATGATATTACACGACATAATGTTAGTGAATAGTGTAGTTCGCAAGTGCATGTGTCATTTCGTTTTTTTTTTAAATTATATGTATTTCTTCTCTTTCTGCTTCTATTCCTCTGTAAAATGTGTCTTACTAAAAAAAGATAAGAATAAATATATTTATAATTTATCATATTTAGTTATTTATTTTGTTATGGATTGATTGTAGGTATGTTTCCACTTCGGTCTGCAAGCAGACACTCTTCTATGTCGAAGTTACAGATGAAATGCATACTCAACCTGGTAAGTTAATATTATAAATATAATTTTTAAGATTGCTTCGTGATTAAAATAATATATTTCAAGATTAAAAGATGATATAAGGTTCTAAATAAATTTATATAATATTCAATAAAATGTGTTTGAAGAAATTCTGTTTCTTGTCCTTAAGTAATAATTCCTCAAATTAAAGGAGGGGGTTCTGCAGCTGAAGGAGAACTGATCGAAATAGTGGAATTAAGCATTCCAGAAGTAAAAGAATACATCAATTCTGAAGAAGTACAAAGTCCACCATGTTTACTATATGGTGTAAGCTGGTTTTTAGCTAATAAATCTGAACATTGTTCTTAATATCTTTTAAACTTGTTCAAATTAAACATTGATCATATTCTAAATAAAAGCATTATCCTTTAACTGATTTATTTACAAATAATGTGTATGTACATAAGAGAATGTAAAAGAGACGTATGATTAAGTTTGGATGAATTTGCATAAACTAGCATAAAATTAATGTTCAGCCTCATCTTTTGTAAACTGGGAGCTAACCCAAGCAAGACCCCATTTTAAATTAGTTAACAAAAATTTCAATGCCTTGGTCCATTGTTCTTCTGAATTAAATTGAATTCTAAAACAGGAAATATATATTTGTTATTTAAAGATTATAAATAATTAATAAAATATGATATAATTAATAAATAATTAATAATTATAATTACTTGATGGAATAAGAATTTCCTGTTGCAGAATCTTCTATTTTTCCACGATCCATTCTATATGGAAGACAGAATCCGCTGTCTCCTTTTTCTACCTGTTCCTTGAATTGTTGTAAACAATCAAGAAATGCTACCATTGCTGCATCAAACTTTGTATCCCATAAAAATTTGAATCCTCCACTTCCATACAATGGGAGTTCTCTGTGCTGATCTAAAGCTTCAATATAACTATGGTTACCAAATGGCACTAGACGAAAACGTTTAAATGTGAGATTCATTTTTCTAGCAAGGGCCGTTAACAGCAAAGTTGTTTGTCCCCAAGCAGCATTTATTTCACTCCAATCAACCGGTGCACTTGGTAATCTGCCTAACCGGAATGAATTTATAGTTCCAAAATGTCCTGAATGCCATATATGAAATGTAGCATTAAAAACGTTCGTTTTCTTCAATCTCTCTAGTTGTGAAGCAGCATAAGCTAATTGACATTCCAAACTAATTAAATAATTACTGTTAATGAAAATGAATTATAAAGGATATATATTAATACAACATGTTATTATTACCTACGGTATTCATCTTCTGCCAATATGAGATCTCTTTTGTGTTTTGAATATTCCTTCCAATATCTTTCTTCTTCGCTTTGTAACCTTTCCCTTTCTCTTTCCTGTTGAGCTATAGCATTTCTAGTTGCAATTTCTTCTTTTCTCAATGCCTCTAGTTCATTTATCATTCTTTCTTCTTCTGATTTCACATCTTGCAATTCTTTGGTAAGAGTTTCCATTTCTATATCTTCATGACCTTGATGTTGTTGTTCTACTTCTAATTTCTTCAAATATTCATTGTAATCTGACCATTCTCCTTCAGTCATTCTTAATTGTTGATCCATTAGTAATAAAAGACTATCTGTACATTCATCACAGAGTGGATGATCAGCAGAGCTACTGCTACTGAGAATATCAAATAATGTTGCCCGTACCTTAAAAAAAGTACATTGATATTTTATATAAATTAATAAATAAATAAATCAATAAATGAACAAATATATGAATAATATATTTAATAATACGGTATAGCAAATGAAAAAATGAACAAATATATATAACACCTTTAAATGATGACTCAAACTTTCTGTTTCCCCAGAATCACCAACTAACATGAATCCATTAGTTCCATTTGCAGATTCAGTTAATTTAAATGGAGGTACTAAATGTTCCATACTTCCAGTTTGAGGCTCTAGTTCACCCATCACTTGTTGTTGGATGGGAACTGTTATAATAAATTATTTATATTATAAATTTTTATATAAAATATATTATAAAACATAATTTATATAAATCCGTATAATACAATAATTATTTTAAATAATCGATGAATATATATATATATATATCGTAAAAATAGTAATTTTTAAAATATAAATAAATCATGATTATCAAAAAATCATAGAATGATATAATTAAAAAATATAATTAAGAGAAAAAGATATTATTTTCATTTTACTTCTTAAACGAAGCAAAATAATTAACAAATCTTATAAAATTATATATTTCGAAATAGAAATTACCTACGTGAAAGTTCAGCTAAAGTATGTTCTCCCAGATGATAAAAACTTGGATCTAGTCTGAGAGGTTGTAGACATCGTTGACACGCAAAACTTACATTACTCTTTATATCAACCATTTTAATTTTTGGCGATTAAAAAATAAGTTCAACTTCCAACGAACTGGTACGCCACACTATTTATAAATACGTATTTGACGCTAGGAAGACAGGGTCAGCTGATTTTAGTTCTATGATGCTCCGCAAGAAGGCGCACATAGTTTACTTATGGCGTCTTTTTGTTATTACACATTATAATCTTATGCTTAATTTATAAGATTCAATATTTATAATTAAAATATAAGCAAAAAAAAAAAAAAAGATATTAAGAAAAATTATGAATTAAAAATTATAATAAGTAAAGATATATAATTCATATAGTTTAAATATTATATATACTATAATATAGCACTATAGTGTATTAAAAAAAATTACGATTCTGCAATAAGTTAATTTTTAGAGATAAAATAAGTAAAATTAACATTTATTATAATTTTTAATATTTAATATTATTATAATAAGAAAAACTATAATAAAATTTAATAAATTTCATAAAATATATTTTATAAATATTTTTCAGTAACCAAGTTGGCCAACATTTTTTCAATATTACCCTAAAAATCGGTAGGATCTTTAACCAAATAATTGAAGCTAAAAAAAATTTATAAGATGATAAATAATATTTTTTTTCAATTCCTAAAATTATGAAAAATAAACATAAATTTTCATTTTATGATTTTTGAATTAATTTTGAAGTAATTTTGATTTAATTTTGCGTGATTAAATTGTAGCATATATATCATTTTTTTTTTAAGATTATCGAACATTTATGATATCTTATAGATTGAGAAGAAATCTAAGGTTCTTTTAATAAATAAAGATAAAAAAATTTTTTTTCAAATTTATTATTTCTTGTCTTTAGTTTGAATAAGAATAAAAGATTAACGCCATCTCTTGAATTATTTTAGAAAGATATTTTGAAATAAAATAATCGTATTAGCCAAAAAATGATTATTTTATTCTAAATAATATAATTTTTATTATTTATTATTAATTAAAGTATAAAATATAAATTATGAAAATAAAAAAAGATAAATAAAAAAAATTAAGAAAACATATATATTTTAGAAATTTTTAAATTAGTTAATTATAGCTACAACTGATGGCAGCACAAGTGTTCTTGTTAAGTGCTACACTCTAGTGGCGTTACTAATAAACTTTTAGTCATAGTTCGTTGTTTGTCGCGCGCTCAAAAAAAGTTTTGTTCGTTCTTTTACAGTGTTAAAGTGTTATAAATTATAATTTAATCATTATTATACATCAATAGAAAGTAATAGGTAATTACAATAACTATTTTTCTCTTATTATTTTTTAAATATAATACTTTATTATGATATATTGCTTTAATTTTTCAGATCGTTGTCAGATCAAGAAAAACCGCCATACTTCAAATCTGAAATCGCGATGCTCGAGAAGACGTTCACAGAGTGAGTTCATTATTTAATTGTGATATTGATATATGCATGATCTTTCTTATTTCTCAAATATTCATTTCGCAATGTTGTTCGCGTAACTTGTTTATATAAAGTTTATGAATATCGGGGAACATGTTCGAATCAACAGGTAGCTTTTCAATTACATTTATCGCTCTAACTATATAACTTTAACGTTTCGTGGACATTTATCATCGCAGTCCATTAACTACGTCATAACAATCGGTATTTCTTAAATGCAATTATATTAAACTTTCATGTAACTTTAAGAAACTGTGTTTACGTTTCTCTAATAATAGCAACGATCCTCTTGTCATCTTGAGTATTAGATACAATGAATTATTATGCAAGTGTTTCGTTAGTTCTCTTTTCTAACACGATAGTTTGAGTAGCGCAACGAATCGCTGACTCAACTGTCAATCATCTCTATTACGTTAATTTCTGTAGCTATTTTCAAGGGATATATAATAGACAATTTAAAGCTATAAAACATCTGTAACGAATGTATTCTATTTGTAAAATAATGATATTTATCAAAGTTGTACAATAACCATTTTATTGAAAAAGTTAGAATTTTCGAATTATTTTAAATAATCAATCATTTTCGTGTAATTTCAAAACAATATAATTGTGCATACAAATAGACTTCACTAATAATTTTTGCATTATCATGCAAGAATATAAATATGCATCGGTCATGTATGTTAGAGTTTCGTTTATAGCGAACATGACATCATGGAATAAATAAAGTTACATAATATGATAGGTTAAATGCGCATATCGATATTCAGCGCATATGCATTCGCGCACGTGGTACTACGTTTCCACTTATCGTCGCTGTGCGGCGCTATTAAAAACGAATGGTAACCAATTACGCGGGAATGCAATTGCGAGCATCTTCCGACGATTATTCCTTGCAGGATTATTCATAGATCCTATTCGGCAAATTATCATTTATATCTCCGCTAGAGTTCGAAGCAAACCTATTCGGATATAAGAACTACCATAACAGAAATTTAATCACACGTTCCGAATGACAAAACAACGAACGATTCCCTTAAAATGCAAGATAATGAATCCTATCCACGATTTTCATTATCGTTGCATTTTAGAACTCTTCCGAATCATAAAAAAGGAATCAACGTACACGCGAAAAAAGCCATACAACGTCCTTGCTTGACGGTTTGCAACCTTGACGCGAATCTTCCTACGCGATTACCCGTGTCATCGACGAGTTTACAATTTACATCGTTCGACTGCAGGCGCAATTGAACACGTGTGAGTGCGTTGTGCGTGAATCGTCGCGTATATCGCGTGGGTGACAGTGGAGAGGGTTACCGACGGAGAAGATCCTTTGAGAAAAGAGAGAGAGAGAGAGAGAGAGAGCGAGAGAGAGAGAGAGAGAGTAGGAAGATATGACTAGAGGAAGAAGACAGAAGAGAAGACGAAGT